TGTTCTTTTAATCAAGATTTTTATATACTTTCAAGTTCATAAAAATTGAGTCTGTCTTTCATTCAAAATAATTGTTATATCCTTTAAGGCGGCATTCCTTTAATATAAGATATTAAATATGACATGGACGTTCTTATAGAGTTTAAAGTATCATATTTACAGTTTGTTTGGCCATAGACCATTGACCACACTATGATATTTTTTAAGTCCATAAGATTGAGTATGTCATTTAAGTAAACATAATTGTATTTGATATCCTGAAATGTAACATACATATTTTAAACGTGATCCTGTTATATAATATGTCCTATAAAATGAGTACAAATGAAATAAAGTTAATTTCCTTTCTTTATTTTTGCTTAAAATGGTACGTCTCGCCTATAATGTTATATTATATGTCCTATAAAAATGAGTGCAAATGAAATAAAGTTAATTGCCTTTCTTCACTTTTGCTTAAAAAGGTACGTCTCGCCTATAATGTTATATAATATGTCCTATAAAATGAGTACAAATGAAATAAAGTTAATTGTCTTTCTACAGTTTTTGCTTTAAGGTAGTACACCCCTAATGTACTATCTCCACATTGAAGATTATTCAAATAGGCTAGAATCACAGTAAAGTGTATCGACACTGAGGGGCTTGGGTTCAAACCCCAAAAGGGGAATTTTTTTTTCTTTCTTTTTTTTCTTTTTAACATTTTTATTAATCTCTCAGATCCCTATAAAAGAAAAAAGTGTTTCATTTTAATTATATAATTATTGTAGGTATTAATTTACTAAATAATGCCAAATTTAATACCAGATATTTTCAAAGTTAAAAGGTAAAAACTACACTGTATAAATATTTATATTTTGAAAGATAAACCAATATACATTTAAGAAAATTTAGGCAAACTTTGAAAACAGACCCTCATTGTGGAAAATTTTAGGGATATTTTTAATCAGGCTTTTTACAGGGAAATTGTCAAATAAGTGTTAAAAGTGGGTAGGGTAGGGTTACATTTTTATACATTTTAAAAACATTTCGTTTAAAAACAATCATTTTGCTTGTTTAATTTGTTACCCAAATGTCATTATTTGTTTTTTTACAATGAACAATAGGAAAGCATTTTTCATAATGATGATATTATAGATTATTTAGAGTTTCCTCATTTCTGAAAAAGAAACCTTCTAATGGCAAAGGTTTAGTTCAGAAAAATGTCCATAACTTATAAACTACACGGTAAATTTTGTTTAACTTTTACATACATGTGACATTTAAGGCATATAACTGTCCCATGTTGTTACTTCAACAGTTCCTTATAGTGCCCATGAGGGGTGTTCTACCTTAGAAATGTACGTCTCGCCTATAATGTTTTCCTAATCAATTAAAATGTTTTTGTCAATTACTGTGTATCAAATTAAAACATTTTTGTCACGTCTGAATAACTAAAAAAATCTTATTTAGCCAGTCACATCTGATAAGGACTGATTAAAGTCTGTATATCAACAAGTATTGGTAGGATTTTTTTAATTAAGATTATGCCCAAGATGCAACATAAATATTTTCGGTCTATGTTTGAATCATTATGTATATCATAAAATGTTTCTTTTTCCTGTTATTTGTGATTGGTTTACAGAAATCCAACATAAATACATAATAAAGAAAGCATTGTGATACTAAATACAATTCATTTTGTTTTTCAAATAAGAATATATCAAAAGGAGATTGGCAATTAAACTCCAGTAATATTGATTAATATCAAAATATAAAGTTATGCCGTATTTATTTTACTTCTTCTTACAGAAATATTGCTTTGGACGTAGCAGAAATTCCGATAACCTAACTTTTTAACCATTAATCACTTACACCACTTTTAAATTAAAAAAAATCATAACTCTTAGAAATATTTTGTCTTGAAATGAAAGAAAAGGTGTCGCCATGTTTTCAAAACGGATCTTGAAATTCAGATTTTGTTTGAGAGACGTTGAAAGTAATGTGCACGCATATTTTAGGTAACTTTGAATGTTCATGTTTTTTGGCGAAATAAGAAAAATATTGCTACTTTGGTCAATTCTTTCGGGCAGTTTTTAATTCATTTAAATGTACTGTAATTTGCTTTATCCAAATCTGCAGATCTATCGAAAAACAGCAATAAAATGTCAACTTTTTGACTTGCAGAAATTAAGCTGACTTTCCACGCATGATGTGAATCTTGTTATCGAATTATTCGTATATTAAAAGAAAATTTTTCATTATGGGAGGTCTGTTACACCATAAATAAATAGGTAAATAGTGCTTTTTTTCATACAGTCACTTTTAAGTGCATTTTTGTACAATAACCCACGGTTCGTGTTCAAATATGCAGGAATAAAATCACGAAGACCGATGCTCACCTAAAAGCATGTGAACGATATTTCAATGAAACTATACTAAATTAATATCAATTTCCTTTCTTACATACCAATAAAAAAAGAATTGATAAAAATATGGTTAGCTACATTAGCAAAGAAGTATTTTACCTGACGTTCATTTGGTTTATTGACGTCATATCTGATGTCAAATGACGTGTGAGCATTTGTTTGTTTTTATGCAGTACATATATTTCGTAATTATGCATGCGACTGTCCTTTTTTATGGGAATATTGTTAAAGCGTCTTGAAATTAACAATAAACCACGAAAGATACTGCTTGTAAGTAATATGACATTTTATATTTTGCAGATTAAAATTTTTTTCGTGGATCAAAATATTATTGTCCATCATGTAAATGTTGATAGAAATCACTTAAAACTTTATCGACTGTCACAGTTTTTGTTCAAGAAATGTTTCAAAAAATATCAAAATTATAGATTCCTACTTTTTATTAAAACATTTGAAATACTTATGAAAAATGTGCCCGTCAATCCACATAACTTTGTGATCCTCTTGTTTATGAAACGGGATTTAATGCGGTTAATGAATATCAATATGATATTCTTTGTGATAATGTTTTTTTGTGAGGCTTATTAATTGCAAGATAAATGGACAGTTATAAAGTTGTTAAAGATACAAAGAGTTCACTAACATATTAGGGAATAATATTTGAATTGCAAATCAGACAATTTATTCTAATATTAAAATCAAGGATAACAAGAGGACAAAATAGGAACGATGTTACATAGGCGAAAAACATTGAATTTTATTTTACCATTCGTAGGAAATATTTTTCGGTTTCGGATTATGTTTTGAAAACCGACAAACTTAGGGCTGATATAACTGCATAAACTGGATACAATATGTACCAGTTACCTAAAAATCCAAAAACGCTTTCCACTAATTAACAAGAGAGAAGAGAGAAACTGTTCCATCGACCCAATTATCTATCGGACAATTTAATTGGGCTGAATCTTAAATGTTTTGAAAAGTTACGTTATTAACGCAAATGCATCTGAAGACTCTTTGGTTATTTCAAAGTGAATTGGTCTACAATGGAAGGGCTGTTTAAAAATAAATAACAACGTTGATAGCATTTATTTGCAAACGTGAGAAAAACCACTTAATAACTTAAGATATGGATGTAGTTGAGAAGTGTGAGGTACAAGATCCAATATGACAATTTCATAAAAAGCAGAAAGATAATTAATTGAATTATATATCAATAAAGAATTCTTTCGGAGAGTTATTTATTGATTTAAATGTAATGTAATTTGCTTCATGCAAATATACTTTGCTTCATGCAAATATATCGCCAAAACAGCAATAAAATTACAATTATTTTACTACACAGAAATTAAGCTGACTTTCCAAGTTTGATGTGAATCTTGAATTATTCGTATATTGATAGTAAATTTGTCTATCATTGAAGGTATGTAATACCATTAATAATAATGTTAATTGTTAATAGTGCTTATTGTCATACTATCACTTTTGAGTGCATTGTTGTACAATAACGCACGTTTCGTGTTCAAATACGCAGGAATAAAATCACGAAGACCGATAGACCTGAGTGCTTACCTAAAAGCATCTGAACGATATTTAAACTGTACATTGGAATTATATTACATTAATATCTATGTCCTTTCTAAAATGCCAATATAAAAGATAATTGATGAAAATATGGTTAACTACATTTAGAGTAGAAGTATTTTTTTCTGACGTCATTTGGTTTATTGACGTCATATCTGATGTCATATGACGTGTAGATGTGTAAGCATTTGTTCGTTTTTTATTCTCTATATATATTGCGTAATTATGCATTTGATTGTTCTTTCTGTTTAATGGAAATAGTGTGAAAGCGTGTTAAAATTGACAATAAACCACAAAATATGTTGCTTGTAAGTGATATGACATTTTATGTACTGCAGATAATAGATATTTTTTGAACAAAATACTATAGTCCATCATGTAAATTTTGATTGAAATCACTTAAAACTCTATCGACAGTTGTTATTCAAGAAATATATAAAAAGAATATCAAAATTATACATTACTACTTTTTTAAAACATATGTAATAGTTAATGTGCCCATTGTAGATCAACCCTCATATTTTTGTTACGGAATTTAATACGGAAAAAGAATATCAATATGATATACTTTGTGATAAGGTTTTATTTTGAGGATTATTATTTGCAAGATACAATTATTAAGATGTTAAAAAGACAAAACATTCACTAATATAATAGGGATAAACATTTGAATTGCTAATCAGACACTTCATTTTATTAAAATCAAGGAAAATTATTTGAAAAAAGAGGACAAATATAGTTTCGATGTAACATAGGCGAATAACATTGAATATTATTTATATATATATTATTATAAGATTTCTACACATTAACAAGGGAGAAGAGGGAAACTGTACCATCGACCTAATTATTAGTTAAGTGGGCTGAATTTTAAAACGCTTAGAAATACTTCAACTGAAACGTAAATGCATCTGAAGGCTATTAGGTTATTTCAAAGTGAATTGGTCTACAATGGAAGGTCTGTTTTACAATCAATAGCAACGTTGATAGCATTTATTAACAAACGTGAGAAAAACCACTTAGGTAGCACTCCACACTAAATTTCAAGTTTCTGCCGTCAATGTCCTACAGGCAATATGTCTGATAAATCTTATCCCAAACTACACAACCTGGAAAAAGAAAACACATTTTGTTAAGAACATATATGTCATACCATTGCAAATCTGTAATGAAATCATCCCATGTGCAACAGTCAGGCAGTTAAAAAAATTCCAATTCATTCCGTAAAAGCCAAAAATCTATAGTGGTCCGAGACCCAAAACAACATTTTTCGTCCCTCCGGCAAAAAATACCTGCAAATATACGGTCTGCAAAAACTCTGTCACTGCTTTAGCAACTCCCTATGCATGCAAAATATCACAAAGAAATAGGTGCTTGGCCTTGTAGATTTTTTGCTATTGCTGAAAGTTTGTACCCCCCTGTAAAATTACTTGTTTTCACCGAGCATGCTGTTTAAAAGCAATGTTTACAAACAATGGCGACCTTGACATCAATAATTATCAGCATGTGTGATTTCTAACCATGTTTTCGAATTTGCCAATGATCATATTACATGTCACAAAAACAAATTTCATGCTGAAAATGCATTTTAAAGACAACCAGTCATTTAAATCCACAATAGTCACTATATCCATGAAATCCTCCCTGGCCATTCGAAGCTGCGGCTTCATTTAGTGTGGTGTGCTGCCTTAAGGAGCACCTTAACATTGATTGCTGAACTTTATACAGACTTTTTTTGCAAATTTATGCATATTTCAATAAATAAAATGATTTAATTTTGCTAGGAATTGTTTGCTTTTCTTTATATGTGCCTTTAATGAACTATACCGTTTGCCCCATTTTCAGCCCTCGGCACGCTGTTTTTAGTACATGTAGAAAAAGAAAGAATTCCCAATGTAAGGTGTAGACAAAATGGGTTCCATACTATCTATACAACTAATTTGCACAAATATATCCTTATGTCATATGATATGGAAGAAATATTCAACAAATTGCCATACAGTTTAAGAATAAACTGGCTTCATGTGACACTGGGGGGGGGGGGGGCACAAAATATATCAGATATGTTCCTGCCAGACACTAATATGCTATTTTTTCAGTCCTACACAGTAGAAAATCTATTTGGCATGCACAATGTTCATATAGGTTTATGTGTAAAGTCAAAAACAAAGAGACAAAGCATTTGTCAGGGCCTTCACAGCATTATAGACATCACAATGTGGGTCTCCTAGGGAATCGAAATTCACCAAGTGACAGTGCAAAAACCAAATTTTCCGACTAGTCGATCTTGCTCGCTCAGCTTTAAAATGGTCACAATCTCACCAGAAAACCTAGATTATATATCCACTTGCCCTTAAAAGTGATTTCCAGCAAAAATTTACCTCCATACAATGATTTTGCATCACTCGAAACACTTCGGATGGCCATATTTCACACATACAGCTGAAATTCATTAAATGCATGCCTTTTTCCTAATTTAAAAGTCATAAAAAGCAGGAAAACAACATCTAATTGAACCTTCATAGCTCTATATGTGAAAATTAGCATTCTTCTAAAGCTGTATCTCCTAGAACAAGTAGGTGTAATCAACACAGCAGACACAGCACCTTTAATTCATTTCACAAAGAATTTCTGGAATTTGAGTTACCTCCCCTTTTTAAAGCTGACTTTCTGGCACTGTGTTTAATATTATTATGAAATTTCATCATCATTGTAGTCAGTGTGTATTCTAGAGTATTTACACAAAGTTTAATGAGAAAAAACAAGCATTGAAAAAATTTCATTTTACCTTAAGGTAGCACTCCACACTAAATTTCAAGTTTCTGCCGTCAATGTCCTACAGGCAATATGTCTGATAAATCTTATCCCAAACTACACAACCTGGAAAAAGAAAACACATTTTGTTAAGAACATATATGTCATACCATTGCAAATCTGTAATGAAATCATCCCATGTGCAACAGTCAGGCAGTTAAAAAAATTCCAATTCATTCCGTAAAAGCCAAAAATCTATAGTGGTCCGAGACCCAAAACAACATTTTTCGTCCCTCCGGCAAAAAATACCTGCAAATATACGGTCTGCAAAAACTCTGTCACTGCTTTAGCAACTCCCTATGCATGCAAAATATCACAAAGAAATAGGTGCTTGGCCTTGTAGATTTTTTGCTATTGCTGAAAGTTTGTACCCCCCTGTAAAATTACTTGTTTTCACCGAGCATGCTGTTTAAAAGCAATGTTTACAAACAATGGCGACCTTGACATCAATAATTATCAGCATGTGATTTCTAACCATGTTTTCGAATTTGCCAATGATCATATTACATGTCACAAAAACAAATTTCATGCTGAAAATGCATTTTAAAGACAACCAGTCATTTAAATCCACAATAGTCACTATATCCATGAAATCCTCCCTGGCCATTCGAAGCTGCGGCTTCATTTAGTGTGGTGTGCTGCCTTAAGGAGCACCTTAACATTGATTGCTGAACTTTATACAGACTTTTTCTGCAAATTTATGCATATTTCAATAAATAGAATGACTTAATTTTGCTAGGAATTGTTTGCTTTTCTTTATATGTGCCTTTAATGAACTATACCGTTTGCCCCATTTTCAGCCCTCGGCACGCTGTTTTTAGTACATGTAGAAAAAGAAAGAATTCCCAATGTAAGGTGTAGACAAAATGGGTTCCATACTATCTATACAACTAATTTGCACAAATATATCCTTATGTCATATGATATGGAAGAAATATTCAACAAATTGCCATACAGTTTAAGAATAAACTGGCTTCATGTGACACTGGGGGGGGGGGCACAAAATATATCAGATATGTTCCTGCCAGACACTAATATGCTATTTTTTCAGTCCTACACAGTAGAAAATCTATTTGGCATGCACAATGTTCATATAGGTTTATGTGTAAAGTCAAAAACAAAGAGACAAAGCATTTGTCAGGGCCTTCACAGCATTATAGACATCACAATGTGGGTCTCCTAGGGAATCGAAATTCACCAAGTGACAGTGCAAAAACCAAATTTTCCGACTAGTCGATCTTGCTCGCTCAGCTTTAAAATGGTCACAATCTCACCAGAAAACCTAGATTATATATCCACTTGCCCTTAAAAGTGATTTCCAGCAAAAATTTACCTCCATACAATGATTTTGCATCACTCGAAACACTTCGGATGGCCATATTTCACACATACAGCTGAAATTCATTAAATGCATGCCTTTTTCCTAATTTAAAAGTCATAAAAAGCAGGAAAACAACATCTAATTTAACCTTCATAGCTCTATATGTGAAAATTAGCATTCTTCTAAAGCTGTATCTCCTAGAATAAGAAGGTGTAATCAACACAGCAGACACAGCACCTTTAATACATTTCACAAAGAATTTCTGGAATTTGAGTTACCTCCCCTTTTTAAAGCTGACTTTCTGGCACTGTGTTTAATATTATTATGAAATTTCATCATCATTGTAGTCAGTGTGTATTCTAAGTATTTACACAAAGTTTAATGAGAAAAAACAAGCATTGAAAAAATTTCATTTTACCTTAAGGTAGCACTCCACACTAAATTTCAAGTTTCTGCCGTCAATGTCCTACAAGCAATATGTCTGATAAATCTGATCCCAAACTACAACCTGGAAAAAGAAAACACATTTTGTTAAGAACATATATGTCATACCATTGCAAATCTGTAATGAAATCATCCCATGTGCAACAGTCAGGCAGTTAAAAAAATTCCAATTCATTCCGTAAAAGCCAAAAATCTATAGTGGTCCGAGACCCAAAACAACATTTTTCGTCCCTCCGGCAAAAAATACCTGCAAATATACGGTCTACAAAAACTCTGTCACTGCTTTAGCAACTCCCTATGCATGCAAAATATCACAAAGAAATAGGTGCTTGGCCTTGTAGATTTTTTGCTATTGCTGAAAGTTTGTACCCCCCTGTAAAATTACTTGTTTTCACCGAGCATGCTGTTTAAAAGCAATGTTTACAAACAATGGCGACCTTGACATCAATAATTATCAGCATGTGATTTCTAACCATGTTTTCGAATTTGCCAATGATCATATTACATGTCACAAAAACAAATTTCATGCTGAAAATGCATTTTAAAGACAACCAGTCATTTAAATCCACAATAGTCACTATATCCATGAAATCCTCCCTGGCCATTCGAAGCTGCGGCTTCATTTAGTGTGGTGTGCTGCCTTAATAACTTTAGATATGGATGTTGTTGAGAAGTCCGAAATGACCTATTTATAAAAATCATTGGTCTACAATGGAAGGTTTGTTTTTACAATAGAATTATAACAACTTTGATAACATTTATTAACATACATGAGAAAAGACCACGAAAGAACTATAGATATGGATGTTTTTGAGAAGTGTGAGGTACAGGATCCAATATGACAATTTCATCAAAGCAGAAAGATAATAAATTGCCACTAAGCACAATATTATTACTTATTAGAAAAATATTTATTACTAAATCAAATATGATTCTATTTTAACTTTTTTATCAAAATATATTTAAACGAAAATCTAAATGATACATTACATTGCTTTAACAATATCAAAAATAGTTAAAATAAATGTGTGCATTTAAGAACAATCCATTTTAAAAAAAATCAACTTAAAGTTCTTTCAATTTCAGCAAAATAAGAAACATAAACGCATATTCTATACAGAATCAGTTTTACCCCTTACTAATAGTAAAATCATGTTTTGGCAAAGATAACATTCACAATCAATTAACATTGGTTAGTACGTTTATTTTATAATTGTTTTAGAAGTTTTGTACGAGATCAATAATTTAGTGATAACTGATGAAATGTGCCTTTTTGAAACAATTAGAATAGACAAGAATGAACCCCTGTAAGTCGTGTATTGGAATTATATCCTATACTTGCGCCGATTGGAGGAACTTGCGATCTTAGTGAAAGCGGCTGTTTTCCAATACTCTTAACAATATCTAAATCAACGGCACACTTGAAAGATTTTAATCGGCAGTAGCTTAAATAAAGATAGTTCAATTGTTTAAATTAATGGTTGGAATAAAATGAAACGGATATTAATCAAAAAGATTGACTTAGTATTATGTATAATAAATTGATGTTATCGGGGAACATTATAATTTAATTAAACGTAAAATTAATGTTCATAATGAAGCCATGTTTTTCTTTATTTGAAAGCGGGAACCCATTTATGTTATGTTTTTTTTAAAAGAAACATGACAATGTATTCAATATATGAAGAATATTAAGTGGTTTTAAAAAAGATAACACTTACTGTAGTTAGAATGGAAATGCTTTATCATAATTCATCGTTTAATTTCACAAATCTGAATTACTCCATGTTTCACAATGAGGACTTCAGTTGGTTTGAAGTTGCAGCATTTGTGAGAAGTATTTTCGTTATATTAATTTCCAGCGTAGGTTTATTTGGCAATACGCTGACGATGATAGTGTTTTTAACAAAAGGCATGAAGAATTCTTCTTGTTCAGTATTTCTTGCAGCCTTGGCTTTTGTAGACAACACGTTTTTATTAAGCCTGCTTTTATCATGGATTGACACCGAAATGGTAGCAGTGTTAAAGAGTGATATTGCATGTCAACTTATCATTTTTGTAACATACGTTACAAGTTTCCTGAGCGTTTGGTTCATTGTCGGATTTACCTGTGAACGTTTCGTCGCAATATGTTTTCCGCTAAAAGGCAAGGAAATGTGTAATATGTTCCGAGAGAAAATGGTTGTGTTTATATTAACATTAACGTCGTGTTTGATTTACATGTTCACTTTCTGGACTACTGGCATCGAGGAATGGAGGGAACTGAGAATTTGCTCGCATAAGGTGGAATACTTTCTCTTTTTAAAGGTCGTGACATGGATGGACACTTTTATTACAATGATCATTCCATTCATTGTTATAACTGTTGTGAATTGTTTGATATTAAGAACTGTAAGAAGGTGTCCTGTAAGAGCCGAACAAAGAAGACAATCGCGCAATAGAAAGGCTCGTGCATATGATAGAATGGATCACAATGCTGAAAATAATAATCATACAAAACGTGCTCGAAGAAGACGTACGCCTCTTATAAGAGAGACAAAAACTCTTATATTCGTTTCAACGACATTTTTGTTGCTTAATTTACCCTCTCACATCATACGAATCTATAATCTCATAATGTTCAGTGCCTGCAAGTGGAATTGGACCAAGCATTTGGTTTTATATTTTACAAGAACTATCATTGCTTCTCTATTACTCCACGTTTAGCTGTAATTTTGTTTTATATACCTTGTTTGGGCGTAACTTCAAACGTTCTTTGTTGCACATTTTAAAATGTCATAAATCTTCAAAACGTAGGAGGGAACAGGCTGCCCGAAAACAGTGTCATTCCAGGATGAAAACTTCATCGCTTTAATTCGACAAATTAGAACGTGCCTTTCTGATATGGCAAATGGGCATTAGATATTCTTGTTATTTAAAAATTATCTGACACCTACAGTATGAACTTTTCCCTTTAATATTGCAATTGTATTGAAGTGTACATTTAAGTATAATATTTAATATTTGAAATATGTATACGTAAATATTTATACGTATACTAAGCGGAAAGAAATTACTGTTATATGATAACAATTTCAGTAAGAACAAACTTTCATTTTGTGTTTAATTCCTTGCACGCTTTTATCACAAACGTCATTAAATTTTGTTTTTAATTAGATATGTGCTTTTTTCATGTTTTTTATGATATTCAATTCTACTTAACAAGTTTCTTAACCCGGTTATCAAATTTGTGCAATTTTTTCAACTTTGTATCTTAGTTGTTTAAACAAAATATCATGTACAGTATTCTTTCAACCTTTATAAGACCTGTGAAAATGTCTAAAAGACTTTCTAATTACCACATTTTGTTTGTTGAATTCTTGAAAAAGAAATAATCATGGAACTTTAAATTTAATGCTGTTGTTTTTGTTTCAATATGAATACAGTGTTGAAAATATTTATGCCTTGGATCCAAGATAATATGTAATACAATGCGTCGCACAGAAAATCCTCATTCACTGCGTCAGATGGTTAAATCTAAGAACTATTCATAGTTGTAAGTTTTCATAACACAGTAAGCGTATTTACATGAAAAAATATCTAAAATGGATATGAAGCGTAATCCAAATTATAATTTTCTAAATTTCCCCATTTCGTGCTATACAGAAACTTTTGAATGTCAAAATTTATTAGCCATGACAATTTTTTTAGCTAATTAGCTTACAATGTGGCACATTTCTGACATGTTTGTATTTTAGATTGCAGGAAAGATATGTTATCATGTCAAGCAATTAGCGCTTTGAAAAGATAACTTCTTTTGCAAATAATTTGTTCACACCGTTGCTGTTTAAAGGGCTAGTTTGCGGCCCAGAAATTCGATTTTTCTTTCTAAAAAGTAACTAGTCGGACAATTACTATAACCATAACTTTGCTTCTGTTGCGTATTGAAATTTTAGTGAATTATTATTCTGTAAGGAAGTCAAAATACTACAGTATGTTTACATTATGCTAATTTTATGAATAATAGTCGCTACTAATTTCAGCTAATAAGCATCGTGCATGCTTTTAAACCATTATTTGAACGTTTTAAAACTGATGAGAAGAAAAATGTATTCAATCTTAATGCCTTATTTGAGACTATCGGATGACTAGGTTAACACATTCATCCAGGCAGGGTACACAATATTCTTTAGAGATATACTATGCTTGTCCTTGAGTTATATTTTTCAATCACAGACATTTATTGAAATTTATGAAATGCTTATTGAATACGTCTTATTTGAATAAAAGAACGAATAATCTATGTATAGGAAGCATTCGCTCTGTGTTACAGGTCAACTTTCTTAACAAAACTGACGTTTTTATGACAATATTAATTCCTATTGTGATTACATGTAATATGTAGAATCTTAAACATACATATCTTACTAAAGTGTGAAGTCAAAACATGTTAATTACAAAGTGACAAAGTGTAGCAATTATCAGTATATTCTTAGGTTAAAGTATAATATATTTGTTCAGATCTTTTTTGCTTGGTATGTATTTGTTATTAATTTCAAGGAACTCCACTGAGGTCCTAAAGCCTAAATCCATAAAATTTGAATTTCTAACGAAGATCCACTGGTACACTTAAAAAAGAAAGTAAGGAGAAAAAGTAAAGAAATAAAGTTCTTAGCCCGATTTGAGTGAGAAATGTTGCAACGATTTTTTCAATTTTGGTCATTTTTCACAATAAGAATATTTTTTCTGGAAAAACGTAGTGAGCGAATGATCTGAAATTGTGCACACACATTATTGATCCAGACCTACATCAAATGGAACATTAATCTCGAAATATTATTTCCAGTCGCGTCATGTCAAACAAGTTGAGCCCTGTAACTTTAACCTATAAGTTGAAAGTAACTTTTATCTTAATAAAATGATACTGGCATGATTTGTTTTAATAAACACAATAGTTTTACCAAATAATTATTTGTTTATCAGTTTCCACAGTTTTGAAAAAGGATTTTTCTATCCTTTCAAAATAAAAAATCATTTTTAAATATTTAACCCCATTCCGTAAAAATTATATTCATACTTTTACGCTATTTAAAACTCACTTACAATAATTATGGACATTAAACGTTGCAAAAATGTTTTTAGACTATTCTCTTTCTTTTAGTTATGACTTTATTTGGCATTATTCAATGAAAAGTAACTTATTTAAGCATCCGGTAATTTAAAGATAAGACGAAATATCAAACTAGGCAACAAGTGCATGATCATTTAAATGACATTCATTATATATCAGGTTTGATTTTTCCATTGTGACTTGGAATTCATTAACCAATACCTTTAACTGGGAAGAAACATTGCTTATGTCGGTAACAATTTTTTTGATTTTTGTTTTTTCAACATTGCGATCCAAGGCTCCATCATATTAATCTTCATTCTTGCCTACATTGTCTACAAAGGATTCATTTTGATGCTGTTTTTTTACCAGCTTTATAGAAAGAGCGCATTTAATTTGAAGCCCATGAAAATCTGGTTTGATCTTTAGGAGAGTAGAAATTTCTTTGTGGTGAATAATTTCTAACATTGACTCTCATTTGTCTCATACCATTGATTTATTAAAAGTCGGTGACTTGCAGAAAAATTGATAATTACTGGTTAGTTATCCAAAAG